TATACTGACAGCTAATACACTACCAAATTTACTTTCAGCTAGGACCTGTATTGGCGATAATTCTTCTCTATTATCATCGGGAATATTGCAATACAGGTCAATAACTAGACAATAAAACGGTATATCATCACGGTACTAATTACGATATTTAAAGTGATAACTTACCTACAGAAGCTGTATCTACGTCTACACTGTCTTCTAGAATGTTCTCCAAACTGGCTTTGGAATGCTCTGTTCTCTGTCGCTTCGCAGGCGGTCCATACGGCCCACGGAATGGGTGCAAAGGCTGTTTCGCAGGCGATGGTTGTTGTGGCGTGAACTCAGACACCCAGTCTAATTCTGTAATAAGAATCGTTGAAATGTGTATCAACATGTTTGGATAAGAAGTTCGGGGGGTGATGAGCTCGTTACGAATTGGATATACTATTAACACATAGACGAGATGCAAAATTCGTGAATCGAGCACACTGCGAGAGTACAAATGTAGTCGTATCTACTCATTTTATTACTCCGATCCACATATCGATATAATATTTAAGCTAGCTGACTGCGTGAGTTGGTCGTGTGTCACTTGCTCTCGCCAGTAATTCGGGGGCGTCTAGGCGCACTATCCCAAGCACACTATTGCAATCATTGTTTTCTGTTTCCGAAAATTCATATTCGAGTATGTTTGTCGTCCTCGCTTCTCGCACTCCTATATATAGCACTACAAAAAATACTACATAAACCCTAAACCCCCGAAAGCTACGAATATTAACATCCAAGGATGTACAATCACAACACCGCACACATACACGCGTGAACGCATCCTTAATCATCATCAGACTAAGATATACAAGAAAATGACATTCACATATGTACAGAGATGCCTTGATTTAGGCATCAAAATCCAGAAATTAGGTGAAGCAGTATAAAGTATTGGCACATACCATCTGTGTTGTTTGTCACCTTTGCTTTCGCAATCGGCCGGCTACGATTTGCCTTCAGCCAGGCAAGCGAACCGCATATCAAGCTCATTGATTTCCCCTGTATATCCCATTTTAGTGATGTGTTCTTTAGCATACCATTCGGTGATTGGGTGTCGAATATACTAAAATTGGCAGTGCACACAATTATAAGAATTTTTAGGATATCTGTTATATATACACCTGGCTACATGTCTGCTCTACCTATGCTATACTGAAATAGAACTACGCCCGTTCTGTGTAAACATGGTCGATTTATGTATCATCTCGTATATATTGTATGCATACGAGTATTCCAATTGTAGATATCTGATAGATTAACCCTTCACCATCCCAGCACGCATCTTGTACAGGGCTACAGAGCTGAAATAAATAAGGATCCGATTGTACCCATTATATCAAACCAAAACACAGTTTTAACCACAGCTGTCGGTACATGCATTTTCTACGATGTCCAGGGCGTATCGCCCATTATAGATTATTTGTATATTGAATTGTTGAGTGACGTACAAACTTCTTAATATGGGGAACAACAGCATACTACAAAATCTGTGCAATGACAGCACACTCACACGAATTGAAAGCATACCACTCACAAATATGAGAGTGCCAAGGTTTCTTAAGCACACGTATGTCGATAGTATACAACTGTGGCAATTAACGTTGTTTTGTGCCGTTTTCTCGCTACAAATATTTGAACGTAATTTAAGTCAAGTCATATTTTGTAATACGAGAACGCAATTGCCCACACTTACAACCCCCAGGCCTATCACCAGTTATTTTCAACCCAAAATCATACTAAATGATTAAAATAACCGAAACCTAAATCCAATAACTCGCCGTTCCTGTACTGATTAACAAACTCATCACGAACTATCTTTAAAGTACAAACATAGTGAATAACAAACTCACCGTCCCCGTGGGGCTCTCAAAGATCCCCATGTTCCCATGTTCAATGCATTCGAACAAGTGTCTCATAAAGTCTCGCTGGAGATCGTACGCCTTGAAAGGAAAGGGAAACTCTGCCGGAGGATTTACCTTGGTTTCATCTCCATCGCCACCGCTTTTCCTATCAGAAACAGTAGTACTGATCGCAGCAACCTGGCCACAAGACATCTGATTCGCTGGCACGGAGCTTGCAGTCAATTGTCTTTGCTTTGTATTGAAAATTAAGTCTTCTAGATTAGAAGATTTCAACTCGAATGTGCAATACTTGGCTCTGGTAGACGTTGTATTTGCAAGAACACAATACCTAATCGATACTACCTATTTGATTGAAACTTTATCCAGAGACCAAGTCCAATAGATCGCTCGTTCTTGGGCGTGAAAACGATGACAGGAGTTCGCCGACAAGACTCCCAGAATTTAATAGCAGGAATAACTTTATCTATTTCCGTCAATTAACAGTTCCAATGCGGATACCGGTTTGATAACAACAAAGCGGTGCACCCTTTGGTGTGAGATTGTAGACACTGACGCAATTAGATGCGAAGCTGTCTGATGGTGATGCTGAGATTCAGGCTATTTTCGCGTGTGCTCTGTATATTTGAGGTTAGGATACAGAGAAAGTATCGAATTGTGCAGACTATGAACTGGTCATGAGCTAGTATGATTACGGGTTATAATTCGGAACAACTCATATATGTACCACCTCGATTCGTTACACGCGTTTATTGTAAATAAAAGTGTACACATACATACATAAATATTTAAAAAAACACATCATCCTCATAGTGATAGAACACCACCACGAAAATCTCTGATCATTGAAAAAGTGGTGACCATGTTTCGATTTTGGCGCCAAATTTCATGAACAGGCAGGCATGAGGTATATGAATGTAGTAGCGCACGGTCACTGAAGGTCTGGACAGTCCAGCCCACAAAAATCTATCACAAACCTCTCTGCCCAGGTCAGTACTCTACAGGCCAATCTCAATCAAATTTTGGGACCGGCTCTAACAACCCCGAACAATGATGGGCCCATCTCCAAGGAGCCTTTGACTGATGACCAATGGAAATCAACCATACACCAAATGCTCACTAACCTCTGTGCAAAAACAACCAACCTTGAATCCGAACTCCGGGACCTTAAATTCCAAACCCGTGCACCTATAGATGAAGACACACCCGACACTTTCCGATTTGGCTCCACAAGCCCGCCTGTTCCGCCTGCAAAAAGACCGCGGTCACAGGCGCCCAATAGCAGCAGTGAGCCTCCCAGCTACCGCTCAAAAGTGGACAAACCTGCAAAACCGAGCCCTAAAAACCGCCCGACCCCACCAGCTTCTCAGCCCCAATCGCAGCCGCCAGTACTCGAACACCTTTTGACGAAAGTGGTGGACCGCCCGATGCCGGACAAAACTCTTCATGAAATGGATGACATAACTTCGGTATGGCTCTTCTTCAGAGCAATTTTCCCTAACGGCAAGCCCCCATCCCAATCAGTATTTGAAAAATACTGGCATACCCAACCAGCCCTCAATCGCCACCACTTTCTCTGGTATCTTCCGTCTAAATCGGTATCTCAACCAAATCGCCGCGGAAGCTCCACCAGTTTCATCCGCCTTTGTGTTCCTAGCGACTCTGTCGCCCGGGTGAAACGACATGCAGCCCTTACGTGGAAATGGCAGCTTGATGAAAACATCGACCCCTGCTCCAACAACATCCCGACGCTACGAAAGCAGCTTTAATTCACTATCTCCGCACCAAGCGGGAGGCCCGCTGCACACATGAACGAGCGCCAAAAATTCTTGCCCGCAGCATGGATGCACTACTGAGCCCACTTGTCAACTCCACTAACGCAGACATCCTCCAATCTACCGCGGACCGTCTCCAGAAGGCTTACCAAGCAAAGCATGATGCAAACCTCTTCTCACTTAACCCACGAATCCCGGTAAACGCTAAAGAATCGGCGCGTGCGGAACCCGGATTCCCTGACACAATCATCCGACACGATGGATATCAATATGCAACCTCAGCTTTCCACGACGGACTCTTCGACGACAGGCAATGATATAGAAATGGCTGACATCGTCAAAGAGGGGAGCCCAGTAGTATTGACCGATGATGAACAATGTTAGGCCCAATGAGGATGACGCTCTTCAACCTACAAAGACTCAACATGGACAACGCAGCACATACAGATAAGTGTTTGAACGTTATATCGATTTTAAGTCAGGTTGATGTTATGTGTGTGGTTGAAACCTGGCATAACACCACATTTCTTAATCACATACGCTCGAACACACACGACCACTTCTTCCCATCAATCTTTCCTGAACCACTACAGCGACTATGAGAGCCATGCCATATGTTCATACATTGTATCATACATACTTGCCATTTTTGAAATAAATAATATTATCCCTATGGACAGGACGATGGACAGTCTCACTACCTCGGGCCCAGGACAATCAAATATTTACATGTCACTCTAGAGAGAGAGAAGGACATGGATCCAGGAGCTGAGGCTCCTGGTTTAGACTACAGAGCCGGCCCCCATGCCGACCCTTTTGTACACTGGTTCAAGCGCGGCTAAATCAACTAGCTTAGTTCTCATTTTATAGTAAACATCGTGTTTACAACTAAAAGCCTTCTAGCCAACCTAGGACAACCCTACGAACTTTAGATTATCTCTCACCTCAGCTACTACTACGGTCCATTGATCCTAATTTCTGACATACTTTATTAGTAATTTCAGTATAGTGAGCTTCTCCCAAACTAGCTCGACCTCAGCGGTCCAGACGCTCTTTGTCACTTACTATGGAGAGCGCTGGAAGCCGACACTCATACTTTTCTCATTATGGGGCAAGGTAAAATTATCCCGAGAGTGCACTAGATTCCTAGCCGATGACGTTCGAGTTGATTTCCTCCCGCGACATGTCGACCAAGCCATACAAATTAAGATGATGGCCGAGCTTAGCTTTGGAGCCATGATATGATCATTGAGCGGTATCTTATCGCCCACCACGGTGCCTCGGCAGACCTTTGTCGTTCTGAAAATGTATCCGAGCTTCTAGACCAAGCGAGACGTCTCTGTAAACATGGCACATTACCGCGACGACCATATTAAACTGATTTACCTATCAGACTTTGCGACGTGCGATGTCCTGTGTGTCAATCATTTACCGCTTAGCGGAGAGGGCTACACCAGTAATGCCTACTCTTAACCCGATCGCCGACGCTGGAATAAGAATGCTCAAGTCCGCAGAGTCCGGCATTAGTGTTGAAAGTCCGTATGTTCCTACGCAGATACGATTACAGCCAGTGTTACACCACTGATTGCCTCTGACGCTGCCCTCAGCCACTTTTTTGCACCTCATGATATCACACTTGACAATAGTTCACGTTACCAGTTCCGTCAATATGGACACAAGCGACAACGTTCACCCACCACACGCAAAGAATTGCGCTATCAGCGCCACCGATCACACACAACCGATCGACGCTCGCGCTCTCCACTACTACAGACATCCACGTGCACGGTCAGCAATGATCGTGTCCTCTAAGACTCGGGCACTGCAGGGCGCATCCTCCCAGCGACAGGATAGACGCCAGATTTTGCCAACCGTCGCGTCTGAGATTGTAAGTTTCGGTCTATCAAGGCGATATTAACGCCTTAGAGTAATCAAACACTTAGGTTAAGTCTAAGTATAATTAAATTTAAAATAAATAAACGAAATGAGTCTTTTAGTAAAGTTAGGTATGCCTCCTCGTGAAAACAGCATTACTCTGAGGGATTGTGAAGCTGAGACATTGCCTATATATAATCCTCTCAGTACTGTTTTCGCGGAAGGGATTTTATTTAGTGTTTCGTTGTTCGCTCTAATAGGAACTATGGTATGTTTCGTTGGGGCGAATTCGAGAGACTCATAAAATCCTATCTTTAGAAAAAATAAAATCAATAAATAAATAAAATACACTTGATGTCCTTAGTTATTATATTGACCAATAACTTGCCACTATCAAGAATTACCGACTTAGCCTTCATCAGACTGGCACATCTGGTTGGCTGATCGGAGGATCAACCAGGTACCGTTTATAGTCCCTAGAAACCTACCTATATTCGGTTGAGCCATCTCGCTACCGAAGTATTCAGATATAAATAAAGTTGGAAAGTAAATATAGTTCTATTTATAGAACTAGACCAACTCTTATGTTTGTTATTTTACTGAGGCCTTTTAATGGCCTCGTCCAAATATCTGATATGTAAAATGGAAAAGGTACTAATTAATAAAACCATTAGACCCCATTTTAGGAAACTTAAGTTCCTCGTGCTATTAAGAGTACATTTAGGAAACTTAAGTTCCTCGTACTGCTTAAGAGTACGTTTATAACATAGAGTCTAATGTGGAGGCCCGGCTTATTACACAGCCCCCACCCAGCTTTGAGACCCATGAGAAGCAAGTTGCTCACTCAAGCTGATTATGGGTCAAAAAGCGATACAGGAAAACGGGTCGAAAATATTAAGTAGCATAATATATAGTTGATGTTTCTCAGGCGGATAAGTTAAGCGTTCTCGGTTACCCTGTGAGTTTTTGGGTTAGGTCCAGTAGGTCCGTGGTGGTCGACTGGACGTTAAGCATATATGAAGGATGAGCATTAAAGCTAGGGATAAATGCTGTAGGCGGATAAGCTTCAACTTCCGTGCCTTCAGACGATGGAAACATGCTATCTTTTTCAGCTTGCGACTTATGCAGGCGTTTACGCCATTTTCAATTAAAGGCTTTTAAATAGTCTTGATTATCGAAAGCATCTGAAGTCAACTCAGCTATTGTACCTTCTATAAAGCTTGTACGATAATATGTTTAGCCTCCCTTATCCGTTCTCCATATAATGTCTTTAAATTCAGAACGATCAAGAGGTGCATTAGAGTCATGTCGTCTTGCGAGTATAATCTCCGTCGTCGGAATACGACTTGTGCCTATATTAAGCGCACTAGAACCATCGGGGTTATTTACCTCGTACGTTCCACTTTTAGTGTCTGCTACAGAGATTGTATATGGACCTATTCATTTAGATGTTAATACAGTAGCATCGGAATTACGTTGACGGATGTTAACTCTGTCACCGACCTGATACTCTGCTATCTTCTTGGTAGTGTTCCAACGCTTTTA